TAACTTACAAAACAAAACAGTAAATATGAAAGATGAATGACACCTTCTCAAAAGAGACCCTTCCATTTTCACTTGCTATTTGTCCCTTTAATACGGTGCACTGGAGCTCTCTAAAGATTAATGGAGTTCCAATTACATGCCACTGTTGTTTCACTTATCATAATTTGTACATGGCAGTGCGAGGCCCTTGTATTCATGACTTTCCCAGTTTACCCAGAGGGAATATCTTTGGAACTTCCTACTTCTAACAAACAGGCATTACTTAGTCTAACGATTAAAGCTTGCCACGCTCGCTGAGTGAACGCGAGCTCTGACAGAAAGCAGAGTATCAACACTGCGGGATCAATGGACACTCCCACGCTTTAATATGGTTAATTACTAATACTAAGACTGCAGATTCTCCAGTGTGTTATACCTGGGCTGCACTGTGACTGGAACACAGATATAGAGTTGATACATAAATAGAAACATTCTTCCTATTCCAGTTGGAGATGAATTTTACATTTTAATTCGCGGTACATTTTTGGAAACGATGCATGAACATTGAATGAATCCAGTTTTTTTTTTTTTTTTTTAACTGATTCCTTTCAAGGTTAAAAATTCATCAGTGCTTCTTGATTTGAATGTTCTGAATAGTTTTGAATAACAACATTACTTGTTGTTGCAATATCCAGTATACAATCCTTGGTGTAAAATCCTCTTGATGTCTGATTACTCTTCATAAGGACCTCATGCTGATTCATTTCAAACTGTGAATTACCTTTAATTCATAGCTTGAACATGCTGCCAAATTTTGTTTTCTATGTGCCCAGGTGGCTGTCCCTGACACAGTGGAGAACTTCCAAAAAGCCATTAGATACTTATGAAAAGTAGTTAGATGTCAGAAGCACATTTCCATTTTCAAACATGCTTCCATGAAGTATTATGATAATATTTGGGATTGCAAAAGTGCTGGTATTTATTTGAATTTTTTTAGAATTTTTTTTTAGAACCGTGAAGTGAAATCCTGGCCCAACCAAAAACAGTGCTGAACCCCTTTAGAAAAAACCTTGCTGAAATATGACAAAAAGATTTTCAGCTGCTTGTTTTGGTTTTGAGTTCCCTTTATTTAGCTGTTCTTTAGTCCCCACACCGGTTGTGTATCATTAAGTATGATGGATAACAAAAACTCTATAAAGATAAAACGAGTTGGTTTTGTCTGATCCATAAAAATTTGCTGCTCTAAGTTTTTAATGGTTTCCGGTAGTTCACTGAGCCCATGAGAAGGGCCTTTTAATACTGTATTAATACAGTAAGTATAGGAAGTAATTTTATGACAGGGGAAGAATACCATTATGATTACATTCTTCTTTTTAGCTAGGCTTTTATGGAAACTACCCAAGACTACTCTGCAGTATGATTTCGAAACACAGGATGTGCTTGATTAAAAAGGTTCTGGGTGGTTTCCAACTGGACACAGGCCAAATGCTAACAACCAAAACAGAACAAAAGAACTGGATGTTTGAGGATGACATACTTGCAACGGTAATTATATAACAGAAACCCAAGTCATGAGCTGAGTTCATGCCCTCAAATTCATGGAAGTTGACAGAAAATCCTTCGCAGTGCAATTGGTTGCACCTTATCTGTTCCTGCTTACTGTGCTTCACAATAAACTAATCAGAGCAGACTGGCTGAAAACTGACCACACAAACACCCAGCAGAGATTTACAGTGAGTCTGAAATTAAAAAAAGGGAAGCCAAGTGCTGCAGATTTACATAGCCTGATTTCAGCTTATAAAAACTCACCACGATATACACACATGGATGCACATTTTCATTTTCAAAAGTTTTTGAGTAGAAATTAGGATCTGAGGTGAGCTATATGTACATGTACTCATGTACAATACTGGTGCAGAATTTAGACACAATCCCAACTACTCCACCTTCTATTTTACCTGCTGCAGAGCACTGGGGATTGGGTTTTTCCAGCATGTGGATGTAACAAAGTACATTGAAATAATATAAAAAGGATGAAATTTGTATTTCAGAAAGCTTTACTTAGACAAGAAGTCATGCATCTTGCATCATCCTACAAAAGCAGCATGTTGGTCAATTAATCTATCTAGCGGTATATTGACCCCATTCTTCCCCCTACAAGTTGCATCTGAAAGGTTATCTTGCAAAGATCATACATCCCTTTGGTCTGGTCTTCCATCATGCCAACGTTCTTATACCAGACTTCTGTAATGACACACAGGCAGCTTGCCTTCTGGAGCAGAATGCAGCATCATGAAGGTAAAGTACCTTTGTTCTGCATTCACTCAGCTAGTCATGGTATCACTCAGTGATATGGTGAATGCAAGCACGTTACTACCAACTCCTATGGATTTCTAACAAAGTCAATGGAATCCACAGGACTGTCACTAGGACCAATGCAAGTGGAAAAGGTAAGTTTCACTTGAATTGCCCGTGAACTTAAAGTAAGTTGGGGAACAGTTAGAAACACATCCAGGTTAAAAGGACTCTGAAAAAGCATACAGATCAATGAAGCCAAATTCAGTCATCTGATCAAACTGAAATACAGATAACAGACCCCACTGACAAAATACATGAGGAATTGGTGGGGGATACAGTTTTGAAGTCAGTGACATCGTGCTGCGTGCCTGACAGTGTAGCAACAGACGTACCCGGGGAGAAGTTGGACTGTAATTTCACTCGTATGCTTCAATATCCCTGAAACCTATCAATGGTCGAAAGAATAAACCCTTCTTAATACAACTGCGGTCTGATAAATACTGTATTATTAAAATACACAATGACTGCAGACTCTGTCCATCAGAGTTTGTTTGGATCACACTATCCAGCTCTCCTTGGTACCATTATGTCTTTCTGCCCCACTCTCCTCTTTAATTTCATTATGTCCTCAAGTCCTGTAATTCCCTGTGAAAGTGGTGGTAACTGCACACGCAGATCTAAGAAACAAATTGGCCTCGTAATACTAAGTCTCACAGTGGACTGTCTTCTAACCTCCCAAAGCCCTATGGAAATTCTTAGAAGCTGCCTTAACAATTTTTCTGCAGTAAAAGAGAAAAAGTGATAGTAATGGGTTAGCTGATCTTCATTTGGAAGCTAAAAATAAAAGTAGCTTTATTGCAGCTCTGATCTCTCATGTGTAAAATCTATCACCTACCATAAGAAGGCAGTTCATTGCAGCAGAAATCTGATTGATAGTACTGGAACTTTAGATCAAGCAGCAGAACAGAGAGCAACTGGTTCATAAAATGTACTCAGTGTCTTCGGGTTTTATATCAGGCTTCCTATAGAGAGCTTTGGTCCCATTAAATGCACTATATACCACTGAGCTCTGAAGCACTGTTCTTTTGAAATTCAGCTTATAACTATAAACCATGATTGACAAGTATATTACTGTTGGTTACAAACTATTGAAATATCGTATTTTATGGTACACTCACTAAAATATTTTTCACAGTGGAATCCAAATACACTTGCTTCAGGAGAAAAATAATTTTAAGATGTAATAATATTTTTTTTTTTACTTTTTTTTTTGCTATAGAATATGCTTGATGTTAGATTTGGATCACTTAAATGTTCTGAAACATGCATGCACCCATTCTGTTCTGTTACCAAGAACAGTGGGTACTGTTGGCTAGATTCTTTACAAAAAACCAAGCCATTACTGGAAACCAAATAACAAAGGGCAAAAATTAATTTGTTACTAAAGTTAATAAATAAATACTATTCGCAGAAATTAACGTATATATCATTAGCATTCCCATCCAATCCTCATTTAATCTGAAAAACCCATATTTAATTTTAAAATTGAGTTATTCGTTCAGCCATGATTTTGTAAACCTTTACTCAACCAACTTCATTTGAATGAGTACTTTCATGACTTGAGTTTACGAGTAAAGAACTGGACCTTCAGAGTCAGGTGAGTAAATCAATGGATTTTGCACCCACATCTAGTCTAGTCCTGCATTTCTTACACGGTCACAGACAAATCACTGAACTCCAACAAGTCCTTTCCTTTACATAAACTTGCACTAAGAATATTTAAATTCACTTTAAAAACCTTTGTAGCTATCGTGGCACTGGTTTTTTTTCCCCTATAGAGATTTACTTAAAATAGTGTCTTTAGTAGATAAAGGGCAACCATTAGAATAATTCTGAAGTAATTTTAAATTAAAATATTATATTTATGCAAATGTCAGTTAAGCTAGTTAAGTTCTGCATTCAGTACTTTAAAACTCTTAAACACTAAAAAAACCCAGCAGCTCTGAACTGAAATCAGACCCACACATTTTCATAAGCATAAAAAAACCCCCTACTTTTCAAAGTTGCTATTTAATTCCCGTTTGTAAAATACTTTGAGAACCTGGGACAAAAGTAAAAAACCAGTTCAGTCTCAACTCATTGCTACATTACTGCAGCCTTACACCAGAGAAGTACCAAAGAGAAATGGGTTAACACAAGGGAGAATCAGCTCTTCCACAATTTTCAACTGTCATATTTATAGATCATCTGTGATTTTCAGCTGTTTCAAAGTGTATGAAACTCAAGAGTAGCTTTTCAACACCAGCTAGTAGAATTATTCTGTATGATGTGTTTTACTCTCTCTCACTGTATGAATGTGAAAATTCCTGCATCATCTGTTCATTGGGTTGCATTTTCTATTGTAAGAGGCTTAGTATCTGATGAGAGAAGCATAAAAGTGATTTAATTTTGGCAAGCTGTAGAACTAAAATCAGCATTATTTCTGCTTAATAAACTCATCTTTCACACATACCTCTGTTAGCTAATGCTTAAAAAGAAGAAACAGTAATAAGCACTGAAAACATAAAACTGGTTTATGGCTAATTTTTAAGGACTACTGAGAACACCTGAACACGAGGACAAGATTATGAGCAGAGCTAGATTTTAGTTACCTTTGGAGAAATAAGCTCATTCTTTATGATAAATTTAAAATGAGATTTAAAGCTGGAAATAATAATACTTACGACTTTTGTGGCACTGACTTAGTTGCAACTTTCCCTGCTGGATCACTCCACTCTGCAAACAAAGGAAACACATTTTCAAATGTCAAAAGATTACTGTAGAATTAAAATGCACCCAAAGCTGTCAGCCCATCTAATTATACTTGGTTTCACAACATGCCACAATGCATAACATGTAATAAAAAATGGAACTGATCTGCTTTAGCACCACAGAAATTAATTTTTTAGCCTTTGTTTTAATGTTGTTAAGCAGAAAAAGAAAATACCCAACCCTGACTGTTAGGACTAGGATGATAAAGACCTACTTTGTACATTGTATCCTGAGGTCAGATGTTGGGAGTCCTACAAAGAAGAACACACAAAATGTCAGCATTAGTTAAATAAGATGAAGAAGGTAAGATATATCTCGGCTTGCTGGATTAAGGGCATTGGCGTTATGCAAACGGGGAAGGAGATGGTACAGGGAAGGGATTGTGGGATTGTTAAGGCAGCACCAGTGACATTAGTTTAAAACAACATTAACTGTGGAGACAGAGCACCACTGAGGGAGCCTTCACAGCTCAGGTAAGAGCTTGTCCTCAGCTGTTGTAAATCCACACACCCCTGTTATGGAGACACCACACAGGTTTATACCCACAGCGGTCCAAGCCTTTGCCAGGCTTGGTCATGGATGAGTGTATGAGCCACTCAGGATGTACAATTTAGAAAGCAGCATGAATGCAACTATGCATTAAATTCAGTGCCATTGCCTTTCTGTTGTTTGATCTTACTGCCTGGAAATACAGTAATCTTTTATTGACAGCCACTGTTTTTATTTGGGCTGTGACACACAGGATTTGATAAAGACGCAGGAAGTACATCTTCACTCAATGGAAATTGGTCCAAATCCAATGAAATCAATGGAAGCACAACAACTTTAAACCAGCAAAGAATCTGGCTTGCAACACTGAGCATGCTAATGCCAGGATTCTTGTTGGTTCATAATAACTAAGCTGCTTCCTTAATGTCACAGTCTTTTCTTGCTTAGCTTTTCTCCAGGCTTTATAGTCCACAGTGATTGTCATCAGCTTTCCTTCCAAGCAGAGTTTGATCATTTGAAATTAAGGTGTTATTTACAACCTCATCTTACAGCCAGGCACTACTTTGCTGGAAGTGTTAGTTCTGTAGGATGTTAAAGTCATTAAAGCCCTCACTGCACTTCCTCTTAGGGCATTATTAGTTCCTAATATTATATTGTGCTGTCACTCAGTCCCTTGTGAAGTAAATAATGCCCTAAGAGTAAACATGGCACTTGAAATTTGAATGTCAAAGGGATAAATTGTTCTGATAAGTTCCGCCTCTTTTATCACACTTTTTTATATATGTTTCTCATGAGGATACCTTTTTTAATAGCCAAATTGAGAACTTCTAATAGTGCCTGTCTCTGGTTTATATGGCTGCACAATCTAGTCACATCATGTCCTAAATGTATAATTTGGCCATCCTTGTATTTTTTAAAGTAAAACTAGTAAACATGGAAACATTTATGTGTTTGCCTATTTCCTGAAACATTAGCTAAAAAAAAAATAAATAAAAATTAATCTAATTTATATTTTGTACTGTAGTGATACTGTCAAGAATTTTAGGATCAACATTTAATGTGCCCAGAAACTAACTTTGATGTGGATCTTAAAAGTTCAAAGCCAACTTAATAGAAACAGAAAAGCAAACCAAAACTTTAGCTTCTCTGAACCTACACTTATACTGCTGCCAATGGAGACAGTGGCAGTCTGCAAGACTCAAATCAGTTTCTGTAGGACCCATCAGAGACAGAGCACTAAATTAGGAGATGGTATAAATTTAAAAAACCCTGTTTCCAGCGGGCAAAGACCTGAATTCTCACTGTATTCACACAGTTCACCTAAAAGGGTTCAACTGACTTTCAACCAATTTGCAATGAGGAATATACTCTTGGAGAATTATGAGCCTACACGAAAGATGGAGAGGGACTTTTTTACAAAAATCAGTAAGAGGAAAATCACAATACAGCTCCTAAAACAGGACATGATTGCTTGAACCATAATGTCAAGGAGTACCAGTTTTATAAGATATTTTCCAAGGTCCTGCCTTTAGAAAGAAACTTTTATGTAGCTCCATGACAGAATGGCATAGATTTCCCACCCTGGGGAAGTTCTCCCCTTCCTCAAACATCATCAGCTCACAGTTATTCAGGTCCCAGCAAGAGACAGCTCCAGCAATACCTGCCCTGGGTATGAGCTCGATCCCTAGCAGTGTTATCAGAATCACAGAAGGCAATACTGAAGTCTGGGCTAAAAGAATGTTCAAATCAGACCACTTAACAATTCACTGCATGTTGGGTGAACTACAGGTACTCTCCAGGCATGTGTTTCTGATGTGGCAAGTGTTGAGTGCCTGCCTTTAACAAGGCCAGTGCTGAGGACTGCATTGTCCAACCCTGTGTGCCCCTGGGGTGTGACACAGGCAGATGCCATTGCACTCTTCACATCTTCACACCTTTTCAGCCTCAGTAATCTGACCATGCAGCCTAAACCTCACCCTGCAATCAATCAATAAGTGGGAACAAGCGACCACTTCAACCTTTTCATTGCTCAAATAATAATGGAGGAAAATCAAACAAAGTATAGTGTACTTGATTTAGAAAGACTCCTCTAACAACAGAGATAAAGTTTACTTTGTTTCCACTGTATCTTCTGCAGCTTTAAATAAGCAGCTCTACTAGTAACAACAGTCTGATTGGGAATTTCCAACTAAAAATAGTATTAGAAATTTTTGAAAACGGGACCAGTTACAAAAATAAACTCTCCAGTGAAGCACACTCAACAGAACAGAATGCTAATCAGGTCACTGGCAACAGCCTACTGGTACCTTGCTTGGGATAGAAAACTTGGTCTGCTCAGCCTTGCCGGGAGTGTGAATAGCAGTAAGAGGAGGAGGCCAGGAATGGGTCATCTCCTAGGGAAGAAAGAAAAAGTTTTGAAAACAAATTCATGTACATAAAGAAGAACAAGGGCTAAAGAGGATGATGTATGCTCCACTGAGCCTGGAGATGCAACTGCTCAAGGAAGTGACCCCACCATCACACATCCTTCTATCACAGCTGAACACCTCAACTACCCAACATGCAGCACTTCCTCAGAACGACAGCGAGGACAGGTTGCACCCTTCAAAGTGAGACTTCAGCAGGTGGCAGCTGATTCCACCTCCACGGTCAGGCTGTCAAGATTTATGAATAGAGCAAGGTTTTACCTGCAAAGCCCAAGCAGGAAGGGGACCCTCCTGCACAGCACTGGATGGAACCCTGTAGAGGGGTGCATGGTGGCAAGATGCAGCCGTGCGGGGGTTTAGGCAATGCTAGTTTAGGCAGAGTTTGTAAATGCCCTTCTAATGAGTGTGTTTTATGGTAGATTCTGCTACTTTCTCTCTTATCTTTGTTTTTAATTTAATAAATATCCAGAGAGGCAGTAATATTTGTCTCTGGCATTATATTGTATCTTTGTTTTGGTTGTTTTTCTTTGCCTACAAAGCTCAGAAAAGAATTCTTTCTTGAGGCAAGGGAGGCAAAGAGCAAAAGAGGGTCTAATCTAGGAAATTTTATGTTCAATGGCCATAATCCTGACATCAGTAAACTTCCCAGCTGCTATTTCATACTGGTCAAACCCAGGGCCATTCCCAACAAACCTTATGAACAGGCAAAATTCTGTAGGTTACATGACAACCACTGCAAACGCTCCACAAATAAAAATATAACATACTACAATTAATTAAAGGAAATATAACTGTTGTCAGAAGGTCAGTGTGCTGGGTGCATTTCGGCTAAAGACATGCCCCGGGTGACTACAGCTGACACTAATGTATAATTTACTGAAGATAAAGCCAGCAAGCTTCAGATCTTCAGTTATCTGTCCCAAAGTATGTGTCATACAAGAGGTTAGGAGAGAGAAGGGAAAACTATGCACCATGGTCCTCAGTCGGGGGACAGGCAGACATATAAACTTCCCCCAGCTCCTGATAGGCACTAGTGGTTTTGGCCCATCAAATTTCTACCCTCAGTAACGCTGCTACTGCAGTGAGGGCTGGCTGAGCCATGCAAGGGACACGGCCCAGGATCAACCACCAGGCAGAGAAACCCTCAACCAGCCTTGGCAGAGGCAGGAGGGCAGGGCTGGTCCAGCACCATGGACACACACACTGCAGCCTTGGGCAGATGACCAGGGACAGGGGAGGTGCAGATGCCTGTGCTCCTGAAAGAGCTTCTGGGTTTCTGCTGTGGAAACCCAGGGCCCGTTTTCATTGCACAAAGCCCAGACTGTGGCACTGAGGAGGAAAGGAGCAGCTGGTGAACAGCTCATCCCTCCCGGTGCGTGAGGCTGCAGCAGCCCAGTGCCATGACAAGAAGTGCACTGTTCTAGTGCACTGATTGTCTGACCTCCACACAGGGGAAGGCAGAAAAAGATTTAAGCATCCGGTGAACTCTTCTGTGAGATAATATAATCCAAATCCTGCACGCTTCTGCCAAATCCTACGCCATAGATGTTGCTTTGTGGCAAATCTCTTCATAGCAAAACGATGAAACAGAGACTGCATTGCATAATTAAAAGAGGGCCAGGCAGTCCGGTTGAAGGCAGAAATGAAGCATATTCTAGAACTGCAATTATAGGCTTGACCTCAGTCTCCTTCTGGCCACAGATAAAAGGCTGTACAGAAAGCCTGGGATTCATGGGAAGGTGATGTCAGTAAACATTTCAGAATATTCACTGTCAAAATGCATCTAGTATCCACTGTGTACCCACTTGGCATGTTAAAGTGTAAGCAAACCTAGTCATCTCCCTGTTAGGGGACACCTGAACATAAAATAGTGGGAAAAGGGAAAAGGAGTCTGCTATTTGAGGAAATTCAATTACGAGGTATGAAATCCTTACTCCACTGAGGTCAGAAGCAAAAGTCAGGTTCAGAGAGTTTAGGACTACCCAATCTGTGTGTTTACAGAGTGACCTTGTGAGCATCAAGGTCTATTACAAAGGTACAAGCTAGTTTCATTGAAGCATTTCACTTCAATTATCACTGCAACAAAAATTATTGGACAGAAAATTCCAGATAGGATCACACACGCAAAACAGCACAAACATTGGTGTATAAGCAAACACTGTGTGTGGAAGGAGTGAGAAAGTATACAGTTGGTTAAAGAAACATACCTACATCTACCTACAGAGCACTGTTGACCAAAGAACCTTGAATGATGGTAGAGAAAGTTTTGAATTTACTCATCTGAAAAATGTCACTTCCAAATGTCTGGGCAGCAACCCCACCCCGACCACCACACGGCTGCACATCCCACTCGGGCAGAGCCCTGCTGAGCTACAGAATGACACCCAAAAATGGCACTGCACAATTGTCAGGAAAGGGTCAAACCCCCACATCCTGCAGGGGTGTGACTGTCTGCTTAACTCGGTTCCTACTCTGGTCCTTAAGCACAGGCACATTACCCTGGAGAATCAGAAGAAAGGACGTCATTTGTTTAATCATCCACGTGACTTCACCATTTTTTGCTATGCCCCAATTTCTTCTGGAGGTCCCTCATCTTTAAGTACTGGCTAAGCTCTATTTTGTTTAGCTTGTGAAATCTGATATATCTACCTTCTAATATGTTAAGACTACAAAGAGCCACACAGACAGTGTGTGTGTTGTGCATGTATCCATTAAGATGTGTCTGTAGCCACCTTGGTTTGTAAATATTTGGGAAAGCAGGCAGGGAATTGCATTCTTTTTTTTTTTTCCAGGAAAAGTTAAAAAATTTTAATCAATCCAAATTTGGAAGTATTTAGAAATTCCTGGAAGTAAAAATAATAAAACCGAGCATATGAAATGCTTTAAAGAGGAATTTAATGGAAACAAAGTAATCCCACAAAATTGAGTTAGGATTTATTTTCACATGGTTTGGACTTAAAGTAATTCCAAAATCATGTTAACTGTTGGAGTGGGTAGATGACTGCTATGGAAGCATGCATTTTTTTTATAGACCTGGAGATTAAATGAGAAAGTAAACCTGCACAGTTTGTTGGCTTAGAAGTCACTGTGGTCCTCTGATGTAGTAACATCAAGCATCCTCCTTTTCTGAAAATTATTTAAACATTGTTTTAATTGAGTCCATGTGTTTTGTTTATTAGAGCTAGGCACGCTCGTCTCTTCAGCTAAGTCTGCTTTTTTCAGCTATAAAAGCCCTCAGGTGAGTAACTAAGAAGGACACATGCAGATATGATCTAATGAATCACCCAAAATACAAATACCCCAAGCAAACCTTCTAAGGGCTGCAGAGGTACAAAGCCAAATCATGATTTAAATGGAAGGAGAGGACTGGGGAAGGATTCAAACTTGCAAGTTTCTAAGGAAAAGGTCAGAGCTAAAGAACTGAGTACGGGGGATATGGGGCAGATGGTAAATAGCTTTACAAAACCAGTCCCTAAAATTAATAGCTGCCTTCAAGATTTATTTCCTGTCTCCATATTTCATTTTTTCCATCATTTCCTTCTCGTTCAAAAGAAAGTGTGCCGTGTTTTTAAGTACAGATAAAAGCACTGAGCCAGGCTCTAAGAGGTCATTATGGAAAAAAGAACCAGGATTGTGTACTCTGCATTCCTACAGAGGCAGCTTCCCTTCCTACAGTGCACTCTAAACTGCTTAGCCTGATCTAATTTGAAGTCTCCCAAGATACAGGGCTCATGCTACCTCCCTTGGGAGAACTGAGGGGAGACATGAGAACAGTCTTCAATTACAGAAGGATCTGTTCCTAAAGGAGAGAATAATCTGTTCTCCAGTTTTGTGGTGGATATGAACTTCAACTGCAGCCAGAAAAATTCCAGTTAGACGCAAGAAAAGGCTCTCTAATGGTGAGGATTCTGCAGCACTGAAATAGATTGCTCAGAGAGCTACACAGACTCCATCTGTGGAGGAACACACTTAAGAACAGATTAGAACACATCAGTCAGGAATGGCTTAGGCAGAATTGATTCCTACATTGGGACTGGGATGCATAGTAGGTGATGAGATTTCTAAGACCTTTCCCAGCCCTTTTCCTTGTTCTGTAGTTTTGATAGATCTCTGTTGGCCAAACCCTATCCTTACTGCCTCTCTTGTGGATACATTCACAAAAAAGCAGCAGAAGAAAGCAACAATTCTGGTGTTTTCCTTCTGTGGCCACAAAGGCAGTCTCAGGACTGACACTTTGCCCAGATCATTAGAGGGCAGCCAGTGGAGCAGGAGGAGGAGCAGCCCCACACACACCACCAGTAATAAATGCAATGTGAGGCCACTGCTGCTAAAGAGACTTTATCTGTAGTATTCTCTCTGTCAAATGCCCTTCTCAATCCTTTTAACTCCCAGCTGAATCTGTTGCTTTAAACTTCCTCCAGTTTTTGGTGACATAGTATGTTAAAGTTGCATTCAGAAAAAATTAATATGTGATGAATAGATTTTCTAAGGTTATTACAAACTTGATGCTACAGCTGGTGCTAAGCAACCTACTGCCTTGATGGAATAAAGATAGCCAAGTGATTTACCATTTATTAAAGACTCTATTAATGATTTATTAATGTTTTATTAACTATTTATCAATGCAACCTTAGTAAAAAGCGTGTCTTGTTTCACAGCATCTTTCTGGTTTTTGCATTTATACAAACCTGATCAAACTATCTGCTAGGAAGCCAGTAATGCATGAGGGGCAGCCACATTTTAAGTGTGTGATGCATACTGAATTAAAAAACATCTCAGCCCGTTTCATCTTTGAAAGAAAGGATAAGGAATGAATGAATGAATATATAGACACATTTATACATGGACAAGCAAATGACACTAAACCCTAAAGGAACACAAAGGCGATAACCCGACGGGTCGTTTTCATTCATATTCCTTATGAAGGAATGGAAAATTGGCAGGAGCAGTTGGGAATATCCTGATCA